CGCCGGGAATCAACAAGTTGGATGTCCACTCAGAAACCCAATTATAAAGACGGTAATTATAAAGACCACAGATGGATAAATTTATGACGAAGGGAAATAACCAGCCTAAAAAGCTGAGAATACCCAAAATCAGAACGCCTCTCCCTCTACAGGGGATCACAGTTCCTCATGAGCAATGGAACAAGGCCTGATGGAAAACAAGTGTGTTCCATTAACAGACGCAGGCTTTAAAGGTGGTTGGTAAGAAACTTCTGTGAATTAAAAGAACTTGTTCTAACCCAATGCAAAGAAACTAAGAACTCTGAAAAAAGGTTTGACGAAATGTTAACAAAAATACACAATTTAGAGAGGAATATAAGTGAATTAATGGAGCTGAAAAACACAACATGAGAACTTCGCGAACTATGCACAAGTTTTAACAGCCGAATTGATCAAGTAGAAGACAAGACATCAGAAGTCGAAGACCAACTTAATGAAATAAAACAAGATGACAAGATTAGAGAAAAAAGGATAAAAAGGAACGAGCAAAGTCTCCAAGAAATATGGGATTATGTGAAAAGACCTAATCTACGCTTGATAGGTGTACCTGAATGTGACGAAGAGAATGAATCCAAGCTGGAAAATATGCTTCAGGATATTATTCAGGAAAACTTTCCCAACGTAGCAAGGCAGGACAATATTCAACTCCAGGTAATACAGAGACCACCACAAAGATATTCCTCAAGAAGACCAACCTCAAGGCACATAATCGCCAGATTCACCAGGGTTGAAATGAAGGAGAAAATACTGAGGGCAGCCAGGGAGAAAGGTCAGGTTACCCATAAATGGAAGCCTGTCAGACTCACAGCAGATCTCTCAGTAGAAACCCTACAAGCTAGAAAAGAGTGGGGGCCAATATTCAACATCCTTAAAGAAAAGAACTTTCAACCCAGAATTTTACATCCAGCCAAACTAAGCTTCGTAAGCGAAGGAAAAATAAAATCTTTTGTGAACAAGCAAGCACTCAGAGATTTCATCACCACCAGGCCTGCTTTACAAGAGCTTCTGAAAGAACCACTACACATAGAAAGGAACAACCAGTATCAGCCTTTCTAAAAAATACCAAAAAGTAAAGAGCATCAACATAATCAAGAATTTACATCAATAGGCAAAACAGCCAGCTAACATTAAATGACAGTATTAAACTCACATATATTATTATTAATTCTAAATTTAAATCAACTAAATCCCCCAATCCAAAGACACAGACAGGCAAAAAAAGCCAAAACCCATCAGTATGCTGCATCCAGACACATCTAACATGCAAGGATACACAAAGACTCAAAACAAAGGGATGGAGAAAGATTTACCAACCAAATGGAGAGCAAAAATAAATAAATAAATAAAAAGCAGGAGTTGCTTTAAAGCAACAAAGATTAAAAGAAGCAAAGAAGGATATTACATAATAATAAAAGGATCAATGCAACAAGAGCTAAAGATCCTAAATATATATGCACCCAATACAGGAATACCCAGATATATAAGACTTATAAAGAGACTTAGACTCCCACACAATAATAGTGGGAGACTTCAACATCAATATTAGACAGATCAATGAGACAGAAAATTAACAAGGATATCCAGAATTTGAACTCAGATCCGGAACAAGTAAACTTAATTAACATTTATAGAACTCTCCATTTTAAATACACAAAATATACACTCTTATCAGTACCACATCACATCTATTTACAGGTTTAAATGAAATACTGGTTGGCTGCTTGTTTGTTATTTTCTTCTCTCATTTTTTTTTTATGTCTCTATTATTAAGCACAATTATAGGCATACCCATTTTAGACAGCATTCTAGCTCGGGCAATAAAACAACACCCCCGTTCTCTCTCCCTCTTCCTCTTTCTCTTTCTTCCTCTCCTTCATTCTTTTTTTTTTAATTTTTTTTTCTTTCTCTCTTTTTTTTTTTTAGAAAAAATAAAAATAAAAAAAATAACATAATCAAGAGTTTACAAAAAAATATATTTTTTAATATAATTTTTCAGTATAATTTGGATCAGTATAATTTGGACCATAATCTCAGAATTCTGGATGCAATACTCCAAGTCACTATATCCAGGAAAAAATTCCTTTGCAGAGGTTCCAATCTTAATTTCCTACATAAACTCAGACAATTTAACATTTTTTTCCCCTTCAACAAAACAGCAGAATCATGGGGATAAAAATTGACACAGGATGTCTAAATGGTATAGAATAACTCATTGAAAGCTCCTTTATCAATGGATCCTTTTAAAAGGTAAACAGACATCAGCCAAAAACGGTGCAGTAAAAACCTCTGAAAACTCTCTCCTCCCTGAAAGCAATGGGAACACTGTGATGAGCACCATGAGAATCAACTGAAAAGTAGCCAAAGGCTTGCAGCAATCCAGGGAGTGCTTATTCAAGAAAAACCAGGTGAATCTTGGTAAAAACAATAAACTTTGCAGTGTTTTATCTGCCTTATTAACATCCCACTCTCCCAAGCTCCATCTCAGCCTTAAAAACTAACATTCCTGAGTCACAGTGAAAATCAGCAGCCATCAGAGGGGGCAAAAGAAAGCTGAAGCTTCTTCAAAGCCCAATTCTCAGAGAACAGTCATTATTTGACCTGTCTGGTGGTCCCCTGGAGGGCCCGCTCAGAAGGCTATCTTTGCTTGCCCAGTATGAAAAGCCTAATTCTTGTGAGGGTTTGCTGAAAACAATTACAGGCAATTGTTTAACACTGAGACTTCTTGAGGTGGTCGCTAACAACTGGGGCAAATAATAGGCTAACCAAAAGCTTCAAAGGAAAAGCTGAAGAATGAGATGTCCACCAAGGGCTTTGAAAAGTTCTAATATATTAAAATCATAAGGAATCTAGAGGGCTCATGCATGACCATGGCCATATCAATGCTCAGGAAAAAAAAGAGAAAGCCCTCAGCTCTCTCTTCTGCCTGACCTTTACAGGAAGTGAAGCCTAAGGCAGCGGCATCAACTGCTTAGTGTAGTGTTGAAGGTGGGCTGCACCTGCACATAGAGCCCTTCAACAAAGACTGAGAGACTTATTAGTTTCAGGCATCTAAGGAAATCTGTTCAATCACTAGCTGACCACTAATCTAATGAGCAGGGACGTCACTGGCCATACACAAGAAAGAACATAGACATCACAAAACTTGTTTAGAAAAGTCATTTAAAAAACAGCAAGAATGATGAACTGTGATGAAAATCTGATTTCCAGGGTCACATTACATTATTTAAATGTCAAGTTTTAAACAAAAATTAGGAGACATGGAAAGAAATGAGAAAGTATGGCCCATACTCAGAAAAAAAAAAAAAAAAAAAGCAGTCATTCATTAGTAACTGTCCCTGAGGTGCCCAGATGTTGGACTTAGTAGGCAAAGAATTTACATCAGCTGTTTAAAATATACTCAAACAGCTAAAGAAAACTATGTCTAAAGAACTAAAGTATAAGAACGATACCTCTCAAATAGTATTAATAAAGGGATGGAAATTATAAAAAATAAACAGAAATTTGTCATTGAAAAGTACAATACTGGAATAAAAAATTCACTGGAGAGATTGAAAGCAATTTAGAGCAAACAGAAAAAACAATCAGTGAACTTGAAGATAGGATGATTGAGACTGAGTCTGAGGACCAAGAATAAAGAATGAAGAAAAATAAAAGAGCTTCTGAGACCAGTAGAACATCAAGTGAATCAACAAATACATAATTTGGGAGTTCCAGAAGATAAGGAAAGGGGCAGAAAAAATATTTGAATATATAACGGCCCAATATTTACCAAAGATTAATCTAAACATTCAAGAGGTTCAAAAAACTTCAAGTAGGATAAAGTCAAAGAGATCCACAGGTAGACACACCACATTCAAATCACTGAAGGTGAAAGAGAATCTTAAAAGCAAAACATAAGAAAGAAAATACACTCTTCTAAAAGTTGTCTACAAATCTCTCTGAGGCACAGGGTGGCTTTAAGATTAGACCTTGGAGTCTTATTTTTGTCATGTATGTCTTTGGAGGTAATGTGGTTGGGTACAAATTTTATATAATTCATGGAAACGGAATAACAATAAACTAAATTCTTCAACCCAAATGAGTGTTTAGAACCCTAAACTAATCTCTAAGCAGTAACAGATTCTAAGTGGAAATAAAAAATCCACTTTTGCAGGAAAAAAAAATAGTAACAGCAACTGATAGTGCATTAATGGCACGTATGTGGGAATACTATTTTAGGTACTTGGATAAAAGGCTCAACTTACATACAGTCCCTGATTAAGAGTTTATTAAGAGATATGATGTAATCACTATTTTTCTTGGCAGTATATTCACAAGAAAATACTGTTATATAGTGATATCTCAGTCTGAAGAAACAAAAAATATTTAAATTTCTGTAACAGACCTAAAGTATACATTTGACTATATTTCCACCCTCCTCCTCCCATATTAACTTAAAGAAATCAAGAAGAAACACTAAGATAATCAGACTTTTAGGATTCAAAATTAAACAAAAGGTTGTTGATTTATTTCTCTAAACACTGTTCCTGTGCTGCTTATATTTACACAATGTCTTCATACTAAAGTACAACAAGCCACTTGAAATTTATTTTTAGTAGAAACAAATCACTCTCAAAGTACAATGAGAGAATTATAATAGAATACATACTCAAAGGCATATCACTATGTTCTTCTTAGGAGCATTATTTTATCATAAAATTTCAGACTGGGGGTAACTGAATTTTTATCCCTGTTCCTCAGATAAAGATGTCAGGAAAGAAAAGATAAAGATAGGATGTCTTACTTAAAATTAGGAAAATAAGGCTGTAATAATTTCAAAAACTAAGTATAAATTAATGGATAAAAATTTTGGGACTAACGCCCATAGAAGACAAAAGCTATCGTGGGTAGCCTCTACTCTTCATGATAGATATTCACAGATGGGGAAGACTACCCCATTTTCCAGGCTTCCCAAAACTAACCTGTGATGATTAGACATTCATTGTGATCCAGCACCTCAGTGAAGAGCCGTGAAACAATCAACTCAGGATTGATTAAAAATCGGATTTCTTCTTGCACAAGTCCTGCACTGGTTACACCACCTCCAACAAAACGATTTGCAAAATCCACCTGTTTGGGGAAATGTGGCATGTTAAATAATGGTCAAAAATACCTACATATATGATCAAGAAGCACACAGTTTCTAAGCTCTCATCTTTTCCTCTCCCATGAAAATCAATCCCCAAATAAGTAAACTTCCCAGGAAGGGCAGATTATGGTTGCTTACACTCTTTCCATCTCACTACAATTAACATCTCTGCTTATTTCTCTAGATCACAGAACCAGAGAAGGATCTGGAAAATGGAGCTTTTAGGTAAAATATTATGTATCATACAGACTCTTGTATATAAACCTATTTGTGTCTCAAGGGCCACAAATCAAGGGGGTTCTTTATCTGGGAAGATTTCAAAGTCATTCTCCCCCATTCACTACTCAATTTCCCTTTATGTATTTCACGTGACTTTAATAAAATCACACATTTCTTATGTAATATGGTAACCGAACACTTGCCCTAAAGAACCGAAAAGTTTAGTAATCAACTTTTGGGGTCACCTTTTCCAACCTTATTGGAAAAATAAAGAGATAGAATTTTTGTCCTTCTAAATTCAACCCCCAAAAACATGAACATTACAAACTATTTTTAAAAAATGTAACTAAGGAAAAAAGGAAGATAGAAAACCCAGTATAGCAACAAAGAGTCAATTAAATTAATTTGGTTGGAAACTCTAAGGTTTATGTGGAGTCATATGGTGGCATCCCCAAACTCCTACTATTAAGGAAGAGTTACACAGTCCTCCAGAGAAACTGAACTCAACTTGCTGGCATTACTTCCATTTGTCCAGTGTGTCCAGCACTGTGCCACCCTCATGAGGCAACATGTAAGAAATAGCAACTATCTTTTCCTTAGTGAGATCATCTGAGGAGTTAGATTACACACACACACACACAGACACACACACAACTTGTGTACATATACAGTCATACACATAAGTAAAATAGAATTTACTAAATACCACAAGGCTTATATGCTCTCCAACTATTCAAAAATATATGATTTCTTAAACCTTTAGTGTTCTCTAAAGCAACTGATACTAAATGACAATCTGAAACCTATTTTATAAAATAATAAAACAAGAATATGAATCATTTTATATGTAAAAATATATGTGAAAAGAGACATAAATTAACAAAAGGCGAAGTAGTTTTACCATAGAAGAACTTAGAAAACACTAAAATATACCACTAAGGAGTTCTTCAAATGAGTTATCAGAATCATATATTTGGATTTGTATTCTGGAGTACTAAAATCAACACTAAAAAACCAGAGTAACTTAGGAAAATAATTTTGGTGAAACCAGTTTGTTGATTAGAATTAGTTACCTACTACATATGAGGTCTGGACTGGGTGATTCATGGCTTAAACTGTTCAATTCAATAAATATTTACTGAGTACTGTGCTGGGAACCATTGGATACAAAGATGAATAAGATGTGTATGATTCCTGGTCTCACAGCATTTGCAATCTAGACGGGAATCAGGCAGAATGAGAAGATGATTATTAAAGAGCTTGTTACTATGTATTTGATACTTCCTAATAATACAATTAACTAAAATTGGAGCAGGAGAGGAGCATAGAAAAGCTTTCAAGAGGATGTGGCAGCTGACATGCAGGCTGAGGGCATAGCTGCATAAGAACACAGGGAAAAAAATGTAAATCGCTGTATGAGGGGAATGGTAAAAGATTCCTCACGCTAAGCATGCAGTGTAGAATAGGTGGAAGCTTACAGTTGGTGATAAGGTGGTCTGAGGTCTAAGGAATTTTTACTCAATTTCCCCAGAACCTCTGAAGGTTCCAGGAAAGATTTAAGTAACACCTGGACCTATGTTTTAGAAAGATAATTCAGGCTAGAGTTTAAAGGATGAATGGAAAAGTGTAAAATTGAAAGTAAAAAGGCTGGTTAGGTGACTACTGAATAGTTTATACAAGTACTACTAGGGCCTCAAAAAGGAAAGTGGTAAAGTAAAGGAATGAGAGGAAACTTAGTAAAGAAATAAAATGGACTGCACTTGAGAGCTAAGAGACTGGCTGAGTGCCTAGAAGTATGATGATATTGTGCCTACAAATGAGAAACAGACAAGGTTTAAGATCGGCTTAACTTAATTTTTACTGGAATAAGGTACATAACAAAAATAAAAAGATAAGGTCTATCCAACTTACGTTTTACTTGATAATGATCATGAAATACATTCAATGTGTATGATATTGTTCACTCTTTGAATAAAAGGACAATATTTTTAATTTAAAAGGTGTGCACAGAAATAAAGACACTAAACTCAGCACACCTCTAAAGGCAGGAGTCTTTTAGAAAACCAAAGTTTTACTACTTAAAAAAGTTCTTAACAATAAAGACTCTAACAGTTGAGAAACCTGTTCCAGTACATGAAAACAAGAATGTGAGTGCATCTTTATTTTTAGCCAGTTATTTTCCAAGTCACTTTAAAGCTACCTGTTCAGACTACTCAGCTTCTGAATCATAACTTGATGAAAAGACAGGAATGATAACACTCCTCAGAGAGGTTCTGTTGTTGCCATTCAGCATAATGTAATGTATATGCTACACAAGGAGCTTTGTAGCACTGCAATACAATATTTATTCCCTGATCTCCTGGGGAGACATGGCATGGGTAGGGAGAACAGTTAATAGCAAGAAGCCCTTACAGTATTCTTTTAATCTGCCGAGGTCTCACATTTCATCTATTCCAAGGAAGTGGGGAGGATCTCAACCTAAACTGTTGTTAAATAAATCCTTGTCGAATTATACTGTAATGAAAGGTCAGCCTTCCTGTGGTGCTAACTAGCAGTAAATTTGTTTAGTTCACGTGTATTAAGAATCTCTCAGTTTATCCAAGACTTCAAAGTAGGAAAGAATTTTATGAAGAGAGGAATGTGGGGGAAGATGTGATATTAATGTGAACGAATATTTAAGTCTATTTTAAGATTATTTTTTAAACAGAGAAAAGATATAGGATTAAATGCAAATTTAAATATGTTTTGTTCTGTTTTGTTTTTGTTTTGCCAAAGTTAAACACAGGAAAAATATTAATTCAGCTGTTCTAAGTATTTTTGTTTATAAGCTCAAATAACCACTGGGAGAAGGTGACTTAGAAGAAAACATGGTTTATCTCTTTGAAGATTTTAATTACAAATATGTCCAAATAAAAGACCATTTAAAAAAGAATCTCAGTTTCATTTAAATAATAACTAGACACAAATTTTATAGTAAGCCTTAAGTTATTCAAACAAATCAGTCCATTTTCAGGCAACTGTTTTCTTTAGATTCTGAACCAATATAAGCACCAAGTAAGAATCCAAGAAAAAAAAAAAAACTATTCTCAGTATAAATGAGATGGTATACAAGCTTCTTTCAAAGAAAACTCAGTTTACAATGCTCTTATAAATGGGATAAGGACACAAAACACTAACATTTTGTCTCTGATTAATGAATTTTAAAGAAGCACTATAAATCAAAAGGTTAGGTTAGATATTACTATATTTTAAACATGGGGTTTTTGTTAACCTCCTTCTCTAAAAATACTTTTTAAAGGTAAAGGCAATAACAGATTATTAACAAAGATTGAAGGGTAGACAGAATTACCTGCTTTTAACAAGGAAAAGACATAGCAAGCATAGCTAGCTCAAATGCACGAAACTTTTACATATAAGAGAGAAGCCTTTCTTATCAATCAGTTTTAGATGTCTGTCCCCTCAACCTAAACAAAGCTATTGGTGGCAGAAAGACATCTCAAGCTGGTCATCAACTGGGGCAGAGCAAGAAGAGCCTTTAAGGAAAAAGAATGAAAATGTTTGGTGACAGTCTGTCAAGACTATACCCTGGGAACTTCCTCCACTGTCAACCTACAATCAATGTCTGAACCAAGAGGACTGATGCTGTCCAGATCTTCCAATTTTCTGTCAAAGGCTTTTTAGAGAAGCACATATAAGAAACAGAGTATACCCTGGCAAATAACAACATTACCAAGGCTGTCAAAGTGATCTGTTTGGTGTTTTTCTTCATTCTGCTATCGTGCTTCTTTGCATTAAATCAGTTTAGGAGACAAACAGCTTTTCAAACTTCTTTTGCGTCAGAAGCTTGACAAGAGAAAGTCCTAACCATACACAGGCACTACTGAGATTCACCTACCTGTAGCATGCCTCTGCCATTTCCTTCTATGGTGCCTTCGTAAGTGACATGCAATCGTGTCAAGGGTTTTTCACATCTACAATGTAAAAAGATATTCCCTTACTTATTATTTTCATGACAAGTCATTCACTCTGGACAAATCTGAAAATACAAGCGACTATTCAAAAACTGAAACCACCCCAAATCTCAAAAGCCAGAAACAGATGCCTACTGTTAACATTCTTGGTATTGATCCTCCTCATTCAAACACGTAAATATACATATTTAAATTAATATGGATAACATACTGTTTGAAACCTGCTTTTCCTCTAAATAATATGGAAGATTTTCTTCTTTAAAACAATTGAAAAACATTTTAAAATATAAAAAAATAAAGATCTATGAAATTTAGTTATGGCTAGAGTTGGCAATCTGAGGAAAAATGTAGAAAAAATGTGTCAGTAAATCATATATGATTCTCATATGGCCTCTGTTTTCTATTTTCACTGTTTGATAACCAGGGGAGGGTGTGGGTGTGGGTGTGTGTGTGTGTGTGTGTGTGTGTGTGTGGTGGAGATGTCTTGATGAAAATACAGGGTACTTTTCTATTAATAAGTTTAACAGATAAACCTAGTATCTGTAATTCAAAAGGTATAATTATTTTTTCCCCTTTCAACCACAGTCACTGAGGTATTTACTTGGCTTATATTAACAACAAATGTCATTGTATTAACAGCATTTGATAACATTATTTTACTTATTAGATTTTTTCCCCTGATCACTCACTGAATAAAAAATAGAAATTATTATGAATGTAACAGAGGAGATCCAAAGGTCTAACTTACATAAGGGTGCCAATAATCTTTTTTGGGGGGAGTCGGGGGGGGGGGGGAGAGGATTCTATTTTTAGAAAATAGTCCAGGAGGTTAGCTGGAAAAGTACTGAGAATTGCTTGATTCTTTCCTGGTTTCAATGAATTTAAATACATTTCTGGCAAAACTCCAGCCGAACAGACTGATAGCTTTAACTCAGAAGGTAATTCTGTACAGGTTCTGTCTAAGAGCTTTATTTATATTAACTACTTGAATCCTCTCAACAACCCTATAACTATCTCCTTTCATAGACGGGAAACAAAGCACAGAACTTCTAAGTAAGCTAATCAAGACTGGTAAATAAAGTAGCAGAGATGTGAAACTACGTAGTATCACTCAATTGTCCAAGCTCTGAATCAGTATGCTCTACTTTTAGAAAAATTACTTTCCCAGTCTCTTGTAGAAAGCAGTATCATAAGTTTGATTTTTTTTTAACTTCCTTTTTAAGGTCCTACTTTCCTAGCCATTTTATTCAGAGGAAGACCCCTGTGAGCATACTACTAAAAAGATAAAGAAGCATAATCTAAAAATCTCTGGGCTGTCAGTCAGGACTTCAGAAGAGGAATTCCATCAGTTGTCAACTATTTCCCATGACTGAAGCTAGAAACTTTATAGTATAGCTCTTAATAAAATTATGAAATTGCTAAAAACTTTTTTTGGGTTTTGTTTTGAAGCATCTTCTAACTTCCTGATAGGTCATCCTCTATACCCCTGCTTCAGGAGTCAAAGACATAGATGATTAGGGCTCTCTGTGATGAAGCTTGGCAAAAGTATTTGCTGATAATCAAAGGGTTAATTATACCATGCCAGAAACTTGGAATTCAGAAAAGCCTCTAAGCTCCTGGCACCCATTTGGCCCCTTACTCTTGGAAACACCAACAATCCTCATCTCTTCTTCATTCTCCCTCTTTAAGTGAATGCATGTTTCTGGTTCTGTGAAGTCTGGGAGACTGATTTTAATTACATTCTCCAACTCACTTAAGAAGCAGCTAAAACAAAAAAGAGATCAATGAAATAAAAATAAGTTAGCAAAGTTATCAAGTTAAATTCTGCCTATCAAAATTAAGGGGACAATCTTGGTCTCACTTAGAGGCAAAGTTACTGTGTATCATTGACACAGCAGCCTTGCCAGTCTCTGCATTTTGACCTGTCCCTTTTCTCCTACATGGTGGTAGAGAAATGGGTGTTCTTTCACATTAATGCCAAATGAATGTCAGATGCAAAGTAGAGATCCTGGATGAATTAAAAATAAGCCCTCAGATTTATCTGTAAAATCTACAGCAAAGTAACAGGAACAAAACATCTGCATTACTATGAGAGATTAATAGAAGAGTGAAGAAAAACAATCTTCTGCACCACAGAGATGACACAGCAGAATGGTACTTTTAATTCCAGGCACCATATTTTAAGAGGGCCGAATGAATGGGACTATGTTAAGAGCAGAGATAAAGGGTTTAGAATCCATATTACACGTGAAATAGAAGAAATGAATCAGTTTAGTATGAACTTGTGTGCACTGTTAGAGAGGGAAGTAGGTCAAGAAGTCATTAAGATACATGAAGGGGAGTCAAACAAAACTAAAAATTCAGATTTATTTATGTAGCTCCAGAAGGAAGAACCAGGAATGGTGGAGAGTGAATATAGAAGACTTTTAGTGAATGAAAGCATGAGATGACAACACAAGGAGCCACCAATGGAAGTAACTGATGTGAAACAGGGAATCTGCCATCACGGAAGCTATCCAGTTTCCATCTGTCGCAGGTATTACAGAAATGATCAACAGTTTTAGTAGGTGGCTGGGGTTCCTTTCAGATCTAACATGCTGTGATGCCAAAATGCTGTACATGTTCTCATCTTTTTCTGGCTCATTGTTTTTTCTCTCTTCAGGTTGCTTAACCTTTTATCTACTTCCCTCTATTAATAATCATCTAAACCATGCACTTGGTCTTCTGAAGTAAATTTCTTTTTCTTTCGCCTCACAAATAAACATCTTTGATGGATGAAAACACCACAGGAAAGCCACCTACGCAGATATGACTTCTCAGGTTAACTTCTTTTAAGTGATTTCCATTCATCACTAATTCCAAACCAAACAATTACAAACTATCATAAAATTATTAGAAAGTGAAAATGGGAGGCATTGGTTAAATATGTGTTTAGTATGCTTCATCATGTATTCAAACATATTTAAAAAGTTAATCCACACTTCTTTAAGTGTACTGGGGGACTTGCTTTAGATTAAAAATAAGTTAACTATTTCAGGACACTAAGGCTCTTACAAATCTGAATTAGCTCAGATTGGCTGCTATCTCTTCAATATTTTCTGATAAATAAGTAACAAACAGTAAATACCAACTTCCACAAAATCTACCAGTAGTGCACATGGGCAGCCAAACTTAAAAATTCTTGCCACTCAGACAAATTTTACATGGTTACTGTTCACTCAGATGTAAATAATAAAAAGACTTCTCAATCTCGTCCTCCAGAAAGAAAAGCCATGAAGTTCAAACACTAACCAAAAAAAGGGGAGGAAAAACATTTAAATATTTATATTCTTTTTATTAGTATCTTCACATACAACACTCCTCAATTCTAAACAGGACTTTCTTTCAGAAGACAAAAGAAGACAAAATGGTAGAAATCAAAGAGTTATATAAACTTTGATTTAAAAGGCACGAACTTTTCAACAATGAGAGCTATCAATAGATCATTTATGAGTAGAAATTCCCTGGCAGTAGGATAATTAGAGGTTGGAAAACCATCATTCCAGGTGTATAAAATAGAATCCTCTCACAATGTAAGAGTCCTTTAGTTCTAGGCATCCAGGATTATTTTTATTATTATTGTTACCTTTCCCACTCTGGAAAATCTTCAAGACTCTGTCTTGTAAATGTCACCAACCCAGTAGGTTCTACAGAAGCAATAAAAAAAAAATACCCAAAATAAGTTTCAATTTTGAAAAGATTATACACACATACATACACACACACTCAGTAAAAGAATCTAACATTGGCTATAAAACTCATCAGGAAATATCAAGTCTAGCATTGGAATATAACAGAATACTGATTGAAAATAATATTATCCTTACAGTAGAAACTCCTTCTACACAATAATAAGCCTTCGCTAAACAAAACTAAACAAATAATAGCACAACAGTAGGATTTGAGTGCTGGTACTTTTTGGTGAAGTTTTTGAAGCTGAATACACTTTTTAAAAAAAAGCATTGAAAAAAAGAACGTACAACTGGTACACCAATAAAGACAAAATTGAATTCCAATTTGTAGACTCCTTTACAAAGAAAGAACTTAACCCTACATTCAAAGACTGGTGAACAGATACACATTTATGTACTTTAAGGTAAGTGAAATGTCACAGATTTAAAAAGGAAATCATTTACACATCCTCTGGAGTCAGTACAGTTAAGTCCCGGGCTTAGATAGTGGGCAATCACTCTACTTGTTAGTAGAGTCTTAGCCAGAGGAAAAATTACTGGTTCTAGGAGTTTACAGAACAAAGATGACATATTTTTCAAGGAGCAATGAATTTGGAAGAATTAAAACGAAGTACTATTAATGCAGTCAATAATTTTAGAGAATGAGTTCCTTTTCTAGTCAGATTTACTTTTTTTAATGCTAGTAACAAAAAGAAACAAATCAGCTGACCAGAAGTAATTTGTCTTGATTCAAATCAAAGAACAAACTAAAAAGGCCATGCCATTTCTGTTTTCTTGAATAGAAAAAAAGCTCTTAAGGAAAGAAAGAGATGTCAGGAACTATTAGTGATGACGGAGTACAGCCCAGCAAAATCCTGGCCATCATCATTTCATTCCTATACACAATTCCACATTTTCTTGTTCTCAGTCAAAAGAAAGCACCACTAAAAAACCATATGGAACAGTTGTGATAGAAAACAAAATTTTGTGTTAACATGGGTCATACTTTCTTTAGATATCTAACTTTAAGATAAATGGATAGCATATTTAAAACTCACAAGTAAGTGGTCAAACAACTCAAACACTAGAGAAGCAATTCCATGAATATAACAGAACATCTATCTTGTCATTCAGTAACTTAGCCGAGAAGTAAGAACATTAAAATGTCCTTCATATATACAAAGAGATGCTAAGATAAATTCATAAACACTGCTGGCAAAGCAAGAAAAGGCAGAAGAACATGGTTTCTTAGATATAATTATTAACAAAAATGCCTTGAGAGCACATCTGTTAGCTTTCTTTCATAAAAAGGGGACTTTCACCTCAGAATAGAACACTTTGGTTAATCAAATACTTCCCATAATAAAGTCACAATATATGCTACATATAGGTCATAAATTTCAAAAACCTGATCTATAAGATACTTTATGTAAAACTATGTAGAAAATAATTTAATTAAGAAGGCTCTTTAAACTCTTTCAGTCTCAAGATCCTCATCAAATATAAAACATACATGTTTAACAACAGCAAAAAGTTGGTCCTGATGGAATTCTAGTTTATCAATTCTAGAAGGCATGTTTTTTCACTTATTAAATTTCTGAAACTGAAATACATCTTTTATAATAGAGGTATCTTACCATAGGTCTAGACCAGAGGTGAATTTATTCTGCTTCTGCTGTCATCTGGGAGCACCACGAGCCCAATATCATCTGAATTAAATCGTTTGTGGCAGGCCTTTATGGACCACAGTGGTGGTAACAGTGCACACCCAAAGCTTAGGGCTTGTGGTTCAAATTCTCAGAGAAACGTTTTTTTCCTTTCTCTATTTAGTGCCAAGGTTGAGACTTGCACATTTCTTTATGGTCCCTTTTCTGGACGGTCAAGTTAATTTCTCATTTATCCTTAGGTGTAACACTCTTGTGAGTCAGGTCTCCTACTAAACTCCCTGTCCTGCATGTTTTTTTCCTTCTTAGAGGGATATAATGTAATAGCACTTAAAAAAAAAATCTATGACATCTTAGATTTGGTGAAATACAGTTACCTTAAATAAGCTTCTGAAGTCTATTGAGTAGGCTCCAGGACTTCTATACAGTTACTCACTAAACTGCAACCTCTTTTATTCTCTTTAGTATTTCCTCCTTAAGCTGTCAGCTTTACATACTGAAGACCAAGAGCAATGTTATATTGTATTTCTACAAAGAAGTTAATTACCATGTATAGTGAATAAGTCAGAAAATAAAATGTCTACTTATATTTCTTCAAAGTCCCAATATTTACAATGGTATATACATTTCTAGTTGAAAAAACAAACTTTTAGCTTTTTCCTCAAAGTATTTGAAATTCTAAAATTTAGAAAGCCAAGTAAGTTTTTAGAGAAGACATATGTGATTTGACTCCCAGGACAAAAAAATGAACTCTGGGTCAGGCATGGTGGTTCATGTCTGTAATCCCAGCATTTTGGGAGGCCAAGGTGGGCAGATCACAAGGTCAAGAGACTGAGACCATCCTGGCCAACATGGTGAAACACCAGCTCTACTAAAATACAAAAATTAGCTGGGCATGGTGGCAGGCACCTGTAGTCCCAGCTACAGGCAGAAGAATTGCTTGAACTCAGGAGGCAGAGGTTGCAGTGAGCTGAGATCACGCCACTGCACTCCAGGCTGGCGACAGAGTGAGACTCCATCTCAAAAAAAAAAAGTGAACTCTTATTACTTAGTTATAATAATTCTACTTAAAATGGCAACTCAAAGTACTGTAAAAACAAAACAAAAAATAAACGAATAGTAATAATTCTAATTAGACCTAGAATAGCCAAAAAAAGTAGTCATCTTTTTAACAAGTCATTACAATACAAGTTCTAATTTGATTTCATGTCTCATAGGTCCAAATGATTCTGCATTTTAATATTTCATTCAGTACAGGGCACAAAACTGAAATTCAATAAACTACAAGATAAATAATCCCACATCAAAGAAGCATATAATCTTCCCTTAAACATCAAAATCCTGATAATTGATTTCTTTCTAAAAATTTAACAACGTCCAACAGCAACACATTCAATGGGGAAAATGCCAAGTACACTGTAATGCAAGAGTAAAAGAAGGATATGAGAAAAATGACCTTAAAATATTCAAAGACATGTTTTAAGACAATCCTACAACCCAGAACTGAAGAAAAGCCATTTCACTTGACCAGCTTGACCTTACCTACTTAGCACAAAGAAACTTTTGAGGTGTACTGGTTTTCACTCACTTGTAGGAAAGGCTACCCATTGACCATAGCTTACATTTATTAAGCATGTATCTTCTTGTTTAATATCTGTAACTACCCTACAAGGTATTGGCCATTATTATTTCACAGATGATAAAACTGAAGCTTAGAGGTGTCAATAAACTCAACCATGGTCATTCAGCTTCTGAGATAAGAGCAGCAATACCAATTATTATCAGCTGGTCATTACCAGTATTTGTTGGACTGTCTCAGCTGCTATCAGGTTCTGGGTAAGCAAGAATATTAAGGTTCAACAGAGGAAGATGGAGATATAAAACTCAGTACAAAACAGTTTTATAAGAAATCCACAAAGGGCTTGGGGGGGCACAAAAAAGAGGAATGGATAGAAAAACAATGAATTAGTTGACTTATACAAATAAACAAGTGAATACTTCTTTAAATAAAGAGCATCCAAAATTTATTTCCTGGTCAATATAATTTCTCTGGTTTTTATTCATGAAAATCCTTTGATGTATATTACAGATTTCAGAGAATATGGGTCTGATTTCAGAGTATGTAAACCCCGCCCCACTACATCTGTAGCACACATTATGCTTATACACAACACAAGCATAAAATCTAGGTTATAATATTGAATCATTACTACTGTTTCAATGTGGTTGGAACAGGAAGCTTTACATTAAACACAAAACATTCCTCATGTGTCACTTGACTTGAACTGTTCCCATCAGCAAGAAAAATTACAGTAAGAATGAAAGGAATTTACTTTTCTCTGTGACTCTTCTAAAGTAGCAGAAGAGCGTTTTAAGTTTCTCCGGTTTCCTTGATGAACGTCCCTCAAACAACCTAAAAGAGATAAAAAATAAGTGAGTGGAAGATCAGTTAAAATGCCTTAATAATTCACAAAACTACATCCATATTGCAACCAAGTAATAACAAGAAATAATTCTTCCAGAAGACAATTCTGTAAAGATAAGAACTGGAAAATTGGTTTAGATTCAAACAGTATCTGGAGAGGACTGAAACCAACTAGAACCAGGCTTCTTCAAAGCTGTTCAAATCAGACAGCATTTGCTACCAACCACATTTCTCCAACCTATCTTCCACCATGGAGAAAGCACCATCTAGCCCCTGAGTCAATTAGGGTCAGTCAGTTAATGCACAGCCACTTTCTCAATGGCTAATAACATTACACTTCATAACATTATTAGGTAGTTTAATAACTACCAAAACAGTACCTGAAAAAAAAAATCCCTATATTAGCGTTTGCGATGAAATGAGAGTGGAGGGGAACAGAGGTTCTATACACAGGCAGGTATGACAAGATATCAGGGCTCAACAGTCCTTGTCACTTAAACAAATATATTCTATTATGAACTGAATGCTTGTGCCCTCTCAAAATTTATATGTTAAATCCTTAATCCCTAATGTAGCTAAATTTGGAGATACGGCCTTTGAAGAGGTAGTAACGGTTAACTGAGGTCATAGGGTTGGGATTCTCATCTGATAGAACTGGTGTCATTTTAAGAGTAGGTGAGACTAGAGTACTCTCTCTGCCACGTGAGGACAAGAAGGCAGCCACCTATAAGCCAGGAAGAGAGCCGTCATCAGGAACCGAAGCAACAGCACCTTGATCTGCAGCTTCTAGTCTCCAGAACCATGAGAAAATGAATTTCTGTTGTTTAAGCCGCCCAGTTCTATGGGATTTTATTATGGCAGCCCAAGCTGACTAACAGAGTTTCCTTGCATGGTAACCAAAACAGTGTCTACCCTGTGTCATCTAGTTTTCAGCAACCCAGACTTGCATTACTTAATTCAGTTTCCTTTGAAATGACATAGCATTGTTACTGGTAACATATAATTCAATTTATTCCGAGGAAAGAAAAGCAGGGCTTTAAAAGCATTATGACCTGAGTAAGTAGGTCACTAAAAGATTTCTAACACAAAAGCAAGCTTTTGAGCATAAGATCTAGCTTTCCAAAGGCATTTAAAAATTATAGAGATTCAGTGGCTATAAATGATGAGGTACTATTCATCTGCCTCTAGTCATGTACTCTGACTTTAAAACCAGAAACCCTTCAAGTAAAAGTCCATGTTAATAAGTGCTGAAATGGGTAATATTCTTCATGATTACAAGAGCAAGCTTATGTAACTATGCCGAGAGGAAAAAGTTAATTCCATGAGAAAATCCTATTGAGTAACTGAAATAAATTAGGAAAAAGAAAGGAAATGCAGATTTCAAATGGTTCTGTTTTCGATGATCTGAAATCTGTATTCAGGGTCACTTTATGGAAAGACAATTTATGTGAATATTTATTTCCTAAAACGAATACTAATGTAGGCTAGTATTTTAACCAAATCTAAAATCAGATCTCTTTTTAAAAATAGTTTAAGACAGCCCACGTAATAACTTGTATTTATTTAAAAGAACATATCTTTCTAAAATCTTTAATACACATACAGTTGCCAGCTAAAAGAAAGGCTCTTTGAGAGTGCAGGTTTCAGCATGGCTTCTTCTGGAATAGAGTTTATTTAAATCAAAATTATAGCCAAAATGAAGAAGCTACTTAGCAGTATAATTAAATATCCTATATCAATAAATACGATTTAATAAATGAATACCTTAGGCTCCACTTCAAAATCTCTTTCTAGGCTCACTATGTAGTAGAGGAAATCAGTATGAATATAAAAGTAGCTACCACCTTTTCCTAGAGATGAATTGATGTACTGTACAATTCAATTAAAGGATAAAAGATCCTCTTCAATAGAACTATTGCATAGTGAGGAGAAAATGGCTGTTGCTCTTAAGAAATAATTATCCAAAACATAGAAAAAGCGTCCCTAGCTTCCACATGTGATCATCTATGTATAAAACCACATAAAAGGTCACATATTTTATAACCATGATGACAAATTATTAACTTTAGGAGCCTCGTGAGACTGCAGATTTATTATCCTGGTGAGACAAACTTTCCTGGAAGACTTTATGGCTGTTATTATCACCCACTACAAATGAACACCACTGTTTATTTTGCAGGTCCAAATCTTAAAGGTGCAAATCAAGCAGAATCTCAATGTACTCTGTTTATTCGCTGCTCTAATCCTAACTTCAAATCATTGTGGTGGTGGGTGTCGGGGGTAAGAAGGAGAGATAAAGTCAGAGATGAAGCAGGTTTAAAATACTTGTGATAATTCTCAGACTTGGCTGTTGTAAAATTTTAAAGTTTTATGCACAGCCACTCAAATAAAATGAATCATCCTGATATGGAAGCCAAGTAAAAAGAACAGAAATAGACAGGCAAACAGCATGAACGGAAGTCATCCCCAGAATGATATATAATATGAGGGACAGCTTTTGGGGGTGAGGAGGAAAACAAAAGGACTGAGGCTGGAGCCCAAGAAAGGGGTGAAGAGGGAGAAGAAAGATGGGGCAGGGAAGATAGAGAGAGGAGAAAGGCTGATATAAATGGTGCTAGAGACAGAGAGCATGAGAGACAGACACACAGAAAGAAAGACACACACAAACAGACTCAGAGAAAGTAAGACCTTCTCATAATCATTAAGCATCATTCCCCCAGAGACACCTTTTTTTTTTTTTTTAACTTCCCAACACCTTTGTTTTTTAATTTAGATTTTTCAAGTCCTGGGTATGTATATTTGAAGGCCTATTTTGAGTCAGCAGTGTGCACATAAGCCAGGCCACAATAACTCCTCTGCATGTAGGGAAGATATTCGGGCATTTAATTAAAAATAATTATTAAAGAAATCAAACAGAAAAAGCCAGTCAGGCAACCTTACTTTGTCCTAAACAAAAGCGTATTTTCAATGAAAGAAGTCAGTCAAAGGTCAGATACTTATTAGCTGGTGTTTCCCTTTGCATACTTATAAAGAGAAACAGAATTTAATAAAATCTTTCCCTGAATGGAATACTGATAATATTACTGGAATTTTATTCTAGGTATATCCATCCCCACTGCCCCATAAACCACTATGCCATTTCAAGTTAAGTAATAATCCCATTAGTATACCATAAATCAAGCCTAAAGCCCTACAACCTCCATTTTAAAATATGAGCAAGTGATAATCTGGAACCCAACCAGAAAGTCATTCCCGGCTCTTGTGTGAGGCACTCTGCCATATGGCCCCAGCAGCATTTTTAATCCAGGGAAAAGGCAGACATAAAAACCTCCTGGGCTGACCACTGTTGAGACCCACAATTTATCTCTGACCATCTAGTTTCCATGCAAACTCAGAAACATCAATGCTAATCACATTGGAAGCCTTTATATGAATGTTTAGGACCTGAAAGGCAAACAGGGAAAAAGGTCAGCGGTATTTAACATAACTAAGCAGGGCTGAAAGAACACAGCAATAAATAAAAAAGGGAAGACATTCAATTTATTGACGTCAGCCTCCTACCACATACTCTTACCATTTTTCTTATTCAACTAGCTACCCATACCTCTTTTGAGATTAAATACACACACACTCACACACACACTCACACTCTCTCTTACACCACACACACACCACTCCCTACTGCTAGAAACTATAATCGTAAGTAGAAACTATGCATAAAAGGAAACAAGACAATAAAATGCTACATAATCAGCTTACCAAATGGCTCATCATATTAAGTACTGGATCTTTCAGAAGTCACATGAAAGTCGGGGGACTTTTGGTTGTTTGCCATTTCTGGAGCACTCTCAGAGCATTTTGCTCATGACAGGCAGTGTGATATAATAAAAGAACACTGAATTTGAGTAGAAGACAGTGATCAAGTTCCAGTTGTGCTAACAATTCATTTAATCTCCCTGAACCTTATCAAGAGAGGCTTCCCTACCTAGAAAATTCCTTAGGCAGAATCAAAACAAGCCATCAATAGACAGCATCAGTGGTGATGCACAGTCGTTTTTATTGTTTGCTAGCTTAGGCTCGTTAAAACACATACCATCTCAAAATGAAAGGCAAGGGCAGACATCCTGGCTGCTTAGGATTCTCTACAACATTGTGGAGACTAACACTGGCTTACCTGCCTTAATTCGTTTTCAGTGTCATGGTATCCAAAAGAACATTCATCAGCTAGGAAGACAAAAATATGCCTGATTTCAAATCTTAAAAAGACCTACTTAAAATCTTATTTGGTGAGAATGCTATTTGCAGCAAGCTTAACTTCCTCATTGTCACTCTGGACTTATAAATGGCTTCAATTTATTTAATAGATCAATAATTATTTCTAAGAACAGTTCTAATTTCTGACTAGCCATGAGATAAGAAGTATTAATTCAGTTCATTCAAAGGGAGACTGTGTAGCAGAATGGTTAAGGGACACAGCTTCTCGAAGACTACGTTCTGCATTTGACTCTCAAGTCTATTAGTTACTGTGTTAACTTGGTGATGTAACCTACCCTCTCTAAACTTCCACCTAATTTTAAAAATGAGAGTAACTATTCCTAATCAATATCTAATTCATACTGTTAATGTGACAAGTAAATGAATTTCAGATAATGCTGAGTCTAAGGTACTTGTGCTAAATTAAGGCATTACATAATACCCAGCCAAAAAAAAAAAAAAAAAATCAACATTCATTTATATAAAGCAGTTGCATTGTTCTAATTAATATTTCCTTCATTTTAAAAAATGGCCCAGCCTTGAGTCCCATCAAGCACAACATGCTGATATTCAGAGCTAATCAGCTCAGTCTTCAGGATAAATGACGATGTACAATGAAAAAGATAAACCTGCCATTGCCAAGAAGCCCCAGACTTCCCCAGTTAGAAGTTTGGCTGAAAAACAAAGGTCTTTTAAAATTAAAATATATATTAAAATTAATGTAAATTCTGGTAATTGGTGACAGGAAATTGGAAATCACCAAAGCTAAGCCTTCTCAAGACATCTTGACTTCTGCCTGTCAGCCATCCAGCACGGGTGGGTCTTTACTGTTGAATAAGACAGCTGTCAGCATTGCAGGCTCCAATTTCTGTGGGATTCTGTGGATTCCATTTCTTCCATAAGAAATCAAACGCTATATGCTGAATAGGTAAAATGGGTGAAGTAGACACAATGAAATGTGTCTATGGAGGTGTAATTGGAAAGAAACTATCTACACTAGCTTTCTGGAAAAGCCTTAAAAAATCTGTGAAATTCCACCATCAAAATCAATTACAAAAATTGTCTTACTAACTTGATTTCTGACAACTGACATGTTCTTCCCCTTACCTATTTTTCCTTCTGCACATAAAAGTAATATACGGGCTGGGCGCAGCAGCTCACACCTGTGAAACAGGTTCTTTATATAACTGCAATTGCAGATTCCAGTGCTCTGTTTTCTCTCAATTCTGCCCCAATTACTAACAAAATCAGAGGTAATGCTATTTTTAATTATATGTGGCTTAAAAAGAAAATGTCTCATAATTCCTAAGACTAAGATATAATATGAAAAGCAAAAGACAACAGACTGAGAACAAAGGGTCTAAATTATAGTCTTAGCACTCTGCCATTAACCAGCTCCATTATTCAAAACAAGCCACTTAATTTTATTCTCAAATATTTCACCTGTAAAATTTATTTTCATTCATTCAACAAGAATTTATTGAAGGCCTACAATACTTTTTTACTTTGTGAAAGTAACAAAGAAGAGGACAGTTAAGATCCCTGTCCCACTGAAATGATTAAATATGCAATTATGAAGTAGGCTAGGTGGTACAGTAGGAAAAGTAGGGGACAGTAAAGGTGCGCATTTGGTTGTACCTACGTAAGAAGTACCCTGGATGCCTCTCTCTACCCATCTACCAATCCAGCCCGTCGCCATTACTCTGGCTACCCCTTCAAATGTCTCCACACCTCTGTCCTCTCCCCTACACTATCCCAGTTACCACGCTCTCTTTCCTGGTGCATTGCAATAGCCTCCCCAATTGGGTAAACTCACGTACTCTGGCCCCTCTCTGCTTGGCTCCCACATTACAGTCAAAATAAACTTTTGAAAATACAAATCTGAACATGTGTGTTAGTCTCCCTCTATCCCCATTATCTAATCCTCCAATGACTTTTCATTGTTTTCAGACGGCCTACTGAGGCACAGCATAGTCCAGCCTCCACCTACTTTTGTAACCTCTCCCCTCTCCATGCTCCTTTTCACTCTCTGTGCTGTAGCCACACTGTCTTCTCTCAGTCCCTGGGCATGTCGGGTCCTTCTTGTGACAGTGTGATTGCACATAGTCTTCCCCCTGCCCAGAATGCAATCACCTCTCCTTCTCCTTGACGAAACTCTTATTCACCCTTTTGTACTTAATTCAAAAGTTACGTTGGGCATGGTGACATGCACCTGTAGTCCTAGCTAGGTGGGAGGAGCTCTTGAGCCCAGGAATTTGAGACCAGCTTAGGCAACATAATGAGACCATGTCTCAAAACAACAACAGAAAGAAAAGTTATTTCCTCAAAGAACGTTCCCTTTATTAAATTATCATCTTTCTTTAATAAAATGTCATGGTGCTGTACACTTCTCCAGAGGTACATACAGGCTAGCATAGGAACCTAGAGTAGCAAACCCATCCTATCAGAATCTGAGTCACCAGAAAAACTGATACGTGAACTGAGTATTGAAGGAGGAATAAAAGCCATGTGTAAAAGAGAAGGGAATCTGGGTAGTTGTGAGGTTTGAAAATGAGATGATGCTACATAACAATAGGAACTCAGAAACTGGCTTATCCTCTCTCTGTAACCTCAAGGCACTTAATACACTGTGGTGAATATTGCAGCTGCTCAATGTATATTTGAACTAAACATTGACTAAATACTAGTATCTAAAAACAAACTTAGCTACTGTACTAATTTGGAAAAGAGATTAAAAGCATGACTTTTGCAACTAATATTTATGTAACCAAAGAGTATATTATATAAACTACCCTGTTTGCTAACACTAGGATTTGAAGGAAATTTTCTTAGATAACATTAGTTTTTCATTCTTTGCTGCTTCTTCCTTAGTTTGACAGTGGAGAGTAACTGCATATAATATCAAATTACCATCAACATTTTAATGTTTGAGGGTCATAAAAATATCACCAAACAATTATGACAGTCTAAGAGCAGCTTATATTCAATTCCTCTGCTATACTTACATCTGCTAAACACACACAGTAAAATCACTGAAATACCTAGTTTTTAAATGTTTTAATTAAAAATTTATATTAGGAACTAACCAGCTGAATTCTAGAATTCTTCTCATCTTAAGAAAGTGAAACATTCTCCAATTTTAAAAGGCTCAAAATAAGGCCCTTGGGGCTGACACTCTGATACTGGAGAGAACTGTGAATTCACTTCTCTGCCATCATGTGGAGTTATAAGAATGCTGCCCATATAAACTAAGTTGCATTAGAAACAATGATACTCTAGTAGCAATGAGCACACCTATCACCCAGATGTTGGTCTCTAAATACCATTGTACAATAAAAGAAACCATGAATCCTTGAGAAAATTATTGATTCCAGGATTGAGGCATGGAAAATATAAGATGAACCTGGAACAATGTATAATTCCAGAAAGAAGGGAAATGCTCAAAAAAAGGACAGGGTTTATCAAAAGAACACAGCAGCCAGCCTAAAGGCCAAAGCTAGAATAATTAAAGCAGTAAAATAAATAATACTATTTAATTTAAACTCATACAACAAAATAAATATCCATGAGTCCATTCCAATATTTTAAAAATGGGGGAGAAGGGATAGCTCTTCCTTACAATGAAATTTCAATTAGCAAATGTAGAAGAGGGAAACAGGAAATTCACAACAGGCAAACACTATGGTAATAATCATTGCAGACAAGATCCAACAATGGATGCTAAAATTAGTAGGGATAACAACAAAAGGTCCTATGAATAATCAAACTGAAGAGGCATGTGGAGTCCAGAAAACTGAGAGGAACCATCTGAGAGGACAGAAAGAACATGGGTCCTCGAGTAAGACAGGCCTGAAATAAAATCTCAGTTCTGTGACTTACTAGTTCCTGGATCCCAATCGAGTTCTTTTAACCTTGATGAACTTTAATCACCTTGCTGGCAAAATGGTGAAAATGTCACTTAAGTACTGTAACAAGACAATTGCATATAAAATGCTTGGCCTATAGAATTCACTAAAAAAATATTATTTGCTCCTTCCACCTTTGCCTTTTTCATTGTTAAAGAGGTGTTTTCTGAAAACATACCGATTGAAGTTAATGTCTGGGTAACTAGAATACTCCGATTTCATCTTAGCATTTCGTCGTGGAAATGTGCAGAAAAAAGCATTAGCTAAAAGACTGGCAATCTGTTCCTGTGACATTGTGATGGAATGATTCATCTTCTGTTTCAGGAGCGGTATTGGCTGATAAAAGAAACAAAAAATATAGACAAGAAGAGCAATAATTAGTTTAGCAATTTCAAAGCAGAGGCACCAAATTGCATTTGCTAAATTAAGGCAGAAATAATTTCAGGCCATTCTTGAATCATTAAATCAGCAATATTGTTAAAGTCAAGAGTTGTTTATCAGGGATGATTGAGAAAATATACTTACTTGACAAACTGCAGACTTCTAATCAATAGTAATGATAGTGAAGAGAATATAAAACATTACTTATTAGTGAAAAACAAGATTGCTTCAGCAAGTAAAATACATTGTCCATGTAATGAAAAACGAAAATAAAAGATGAAACAAAAATATGTAACATTGCTTAAGCTAAATTTTGTTCTAATTTATACTAAAAATTATTGGCCAGAACAGTCTTTCTTAGTCCTAAAGAAAATGATCTAAGGAAGATAATTCAACAATTAAGTCTTTACCATCTTTTTCCAAATTACACTTCATACCGACAATTTCTTCATAAGAATCAAATGTAACTTCATTAAAGCAATTAATAGAACATGTAAAAACCACTACACAGACATGTAAGTTTTAACAAGATAGACATTTCTTACATAACCAAACATTCCAAGTCAAGGAAGATGCAAGAGACTTTTTCTTCAAATCTTTTATGTCTAAAATGTCTTCTAGTTATACCACCAAATTCATTTTATTGTCAGTATAATCCACATGACCTGAGTATTGCGTTCAGTGGGCTTTATTCTATTTGTAAACCAAAAATAAAATTCTAATAAAAGCCCCCCAATTGACTGAATAAACCCCTCCTCTAGGCCAAGGAGATTCCAAAGTTAACCTGAAACACTAGTCCACACCACGATAGGAAGGGTGGGTCCAACATGCCTCATTATATGCTCCTCATATTAGAATTCAGCACAGTAACCAGCACTAACATTAAAACAGAGACCTGAAGACTGGTGAAACAGATTTTTTGTTGTAACAAGACTCAATTCCAGCCTGACTCTAGTATAGCATCACATGATAGATAGCAGGCCCTGGAAGAATACCACAAAATATATTTCTCTGACATATTTTGAAATAGCCCTGAAAAGCTGTCTGTTGGGAAAATCTACATTCTGTAGAGAATGCCTATTCCTTTCCAGGTGAGAAGTAAGAAAAGGGTTGGTACCTTTTTAGTTCCAATAAAAGCCCTGAGCCTGGTACCTGGAGGCTTCATCTCCGTGATAAAACCTTGGTCTCCATAAACCCTTATCTTAATCCAGATACTCCTTTCTATTAATTCCAGGTCTTTAGATAATAACTCTTCCAACCAATTGCCAATCAGAAAAATCTTTGAATCTACCTATGACCTGGAAGCCCTTCTTATTGATTGATAATATATATATATATATATATATTTTTTTTTTTTTGAGACCGTGTTTTGCTCTTGTTGCCTAGGCTGGAGTGCAATGGTGCAATCTCAGCTCACCGCAGCCTCTGCCTCCCAGGTTCAAGCAATTCTCCTGCCTCAGCCTCCTGAGTAGCTGGGATTACAGGCTTGTACCACCACGCCCAGCTAATTTTGTATTTTTAGTAGAGAAAGGGTTTCTCCAGTTGGTCAGGCTGGTCTTGAACTCCCGACCTCAGGTGATCCAAATGGCTCAGCCTTCCAAAGTGCTGGGATTATAAGCATGAGCTGCTGTGCCTGGCCCATTATCTTATTGTCTCTCTAAAATGTATAAAACCAAGCTATAGCCCGACCATCTTGGGCACATGTTCTCAGGATCTCTTGGGGCTGTGTCAGAGGCCACTTGTTACTCATATTTGGCTCAAAATAAATCTCTTCAAATATTTTACAGTTTCACTCTTTTTGTCAACATATTTTAAATGTTAAACTATGTTTTTAAAGACATGCAGAAAAAATCAAAGACCAACTACTAGTTTATCCATCAGCTGTTAAGTTTCAAAATGCTCCCACAGAAATATTTAGAGATGCTTTTCCTTATCCCCTGCAGTAAGGCCCAGAACCAAGAGTTTCAAGTATCTGCACTCATCTCAAACTGGCATGCCTAGAGCAAACTGTACTGATCATACTTGAGGAGCTGACACACAGAATGAACCTGAGGAAAGGGCAGGCAAGACAAACCAAAACAGCAGTGCTGAACAATGAATGCTTTTCTAAGTACAGAAGTACACATCATTGCAAGAATAAGAGTTTGCTAGAAAAAATAACAGATTAAACTTGCAATTCAACTATTTCTCTTGGGAAAATTCTAACGTAAACAAATAAGCAAAAGGTAAAGAATCTATTTTCACTATGTTTACAAATTCTCTCCCCTTCAGGTCTTAGCAATCACCATTTCTGAGAAAAAGAAAAGAGAGAGCTCATATTGATCTCCATTTTCCATCCGATGCATTTATTCACAACCAAGCAGAGTTTAGAAAAGGTGACAGTGCATCAATGGGTTCAAGCAATGTGCTGCTTGGTTTTAGTACAAAATGAATTTTTAACTACCAAGTTATTCAGAAAAATAATTTTAAAAATTAATGGTAAATATTTCAGGCTTAATAGACTTCAAACACAAACATTTCTTGTCTCCCAAATAAACAAATAGCATAATTTTAAATAGTTAATGATTTCTACTCTTAGTGAGAAGAAATGCCTAAAAACTCATTATTTGGAGAAATGAGAAGATGTAAATATTATTGTCAAGCACTCAGCTCAATGAAATAAGAGGCTGGTTACTGTGAACCCAGATATTTCAAAAAGTTCCTGACCAAATTTGTCTCCTTTAATTTTTTTTTTGATAAATCTAAAATTTAATCTTTAGATTTGGCCTACAGTTCTCCAATGTGATAAATTATTAAACACCAACATACACAATTTAACTTGCCATAAGACGTATTTTGATCTCAAATAAAAACCTCAACTCTCACAGCAGAGATTGACTTTTCAACAGATGGCAAAGCACTGAATTAAGATGCTCTCCCATTGATATGCTAATGGAGAAGAAAGTTGTTGAAAGAAGCCAGGACAAACAGCTGAGGGCCCAGGGATCTGATTTTTGGTTCCACGGGACTTGTTATAGCTTACAAAGTTAGATGCTTTTGAATAAAAATTTATCATTAAATAAAATACGGAAACTCTTATATGCACAAGGGAAAGAGGATTAAGTGGCCCACACCCAAAGGCTACGTACTACCTACTATTGATTATGAATTACATACTGAATTCAAAAAGCATGTAATTAAGCACCATGCAAACCAGGGACACGAACAGGATCTCCCTTTAGAGAGACTATAATCCAGTGGTAAGAGATATATAATGACAAGAATTACAAAACAATGATTTGAGTGCTTCAGGAGGGATGAACCCTGTCTGGGAGGCAGGGAAGGCTTCACAGGGGAAGTAACAGACAAGCATACCTAGGAGGTAGTGAGAGATTTTACTAAGTAAGGAGAGAAAGGAAAAAGAACAAACAGAATATGATCAAGCAAGTAGCTTCCAATAGAAACAAGAAGAAGATATGTTTTAAAATATATTTCCATTGTCCAATAGTAAAACTTATTTCAGACACAATGCATTACTGAGGTGAAATTAAAGTTACATAAAATTGAAAACATCACACTGAAAAACACTTCATGGGTCTGAACTGAAGGTGGCACAGTCCAAGAAGGCATTTGGACATGTGAGTTGTTTCCTGGTTGCCCCAATGACCCTATCTGTGTTTTTTTGGGTGTCCTAATGACATACTGCAATGAATGGGACCATAATACACATTCAGAAATTGTTCCACCCAAATGTCCATAGGGCCCCTGTGGAGTAAGGTGCTAGTAGAATCCTGGCTAGCAGCCATGCAGCAATAGGGGTTGGCCCTAGAAATACAAGACAAAGGCGAATTCAAGCATTGTTGTGAGAAACACAGGAATAAAATTATGAAGAACAAAACAAACCCTGCGGAGTTTTGAAAATACATTTACAAATTATTTGATGCTCCTCTCTTTAAGAGGTGAAGTCTTGGGTGCGGTGGCTCCCGACCGTATTTCCAGCACTTTGGGAGGCAAAGACAGGCAGATCACATGAGGTCAGGAGTTTGAGATAAGGCTGGCCAAAATGGTGAAACCCTGTCTCTACTAAAAATACAAAAAAATTAGCCGAGTGTAGTGGTACACACCTGTAGTCCCAGACACTCAGGAAGCTGAGACAGGAGAATTGCTTGAACCCAAGAAGCAGAGGTTTGCAGTGAGCCAAGATCGTGCCACTGCACTCCAGCATGGGAAACAAGGGTGAAACTCTGTCTCATTCATTCACAATAAAAAAAAAAAAAAAAAAGAGGTGGAGTCTAATACCCTGCTCCTTGGGTATGGACTAGCTTGTAATGAACAGAAAAATAGCAGAAGTGATGTTGGGTACCTTGAGAAAAACACGTCATAGAAGACACTGCAGCCTCCTTGCTCTCTCCTTTGGATTGCTTGCTTTGGGGAAGTTAGCTACTATGTCATGAGGACAATCAATCAGCCTATGGAGAGGCCCATAGCAGGGCCTTCTGCCAACAGCTATGTAACTAAGACAACTTAGAGGTGTGTCCTTCAGTCCCAGGTAAGCCTTCAGATAACTGCAGCCCTGGCTGACATCCTGACCGCAACTACAAGAGAAATCCTGATCCACAACCACTCAGTCAGCTAATCTGCTCCCAAAGTCAACAAAAGCTGCAAGATAATACGTATTTATTGTTTTAAGCCATTAATTCTGACATAATTTGTTATGTAGCAATATATAATTAATGTACTCAAAACAAAATAAAATATAGGATTCTTTATTTTTAAAAGTTAAGGCCAGGCACAGTGGCTCACTCCTGTAATCCCAGCACAGGGTGAGCCAATCACCTGAAGTCAGGAGTTTGAGACCAGCCTGGCCAACATGGTGAAACTCCATCCCTACTAAAAATACAAAAAGTAGCCAGGTGTGGTGGTGCATGCCTATAATCCCAGTCACAGCTGAGGGACGAGAATTGCTTGAACCCAGGAGGCAGAAGTTGCAGTGAAGCGAGATTTGTGCCACTGTACTCAAAAAAAGAAAAAAAAAAAAATAGCCGGGTGTGGTGGCACATAGCTGTAATCACTTGGGTGGCTGAGGTAGGAGAACTGCTTGAACCTGGAGGTGGAGGATATGGTGGGCAAAGATTATGCCACTGTACTCCAGCCTGGGTGACAGAGCAAGACTCTGTCTCAAAAAAAAAGTTAAGAAAGTGTCACTAACTCATTTGTTATAGAATATATCACTTTGGGGGAGGGTAAGGAAGGAGTGGGTAGTATTAACCCATTTTGAAAATATGATATTCCAAATCCATTAGCATGTTTTGAAATAATGAGTATTTTTTTAAGTTAGAAGTTGTTTAAACAAAGAGAAAAAAGTCTGATTAAACAAGCTTCCACAGTGTAAACAGAAGCTGAGGAATGGAATGCTGCATTTTTAATGTCCTTTTATAGCACTCTCTACCCTCTAACCTTTTCCTTAATATAGCAAAATTACCATTCTCTTTGGCAAAAACTGTTTCCCATTTCCTCTCTCTGTCTCTCTCTCTGTGTGTGACTTTAGCCATTCAAGTTTTTAAAAAATTCAACTGTCAGTCTCCAGGAAGCTACATCCACTAACCTGGGTGCAAATATTTGGCAGACAGAGTGCAATTTTCACCATATCAGGCAAAATGGACTGATATAAATGTTGAGCTTCTGCTTCTTCAAGTACCTGAAAACCAACAAAACAACTTATGTGAATAATAATAACCAGTAAATATAATAGCTAATGAATATGTTTGTTACGAAATGAAATTACACATCTGCTTTTCATGGAATCCTGTAAAGTGGCGCACTATCAGCACCATCGAACGTATGTAAAAGTACATCAACATGTGTATACAAATAAACTCACAAATTCACATTCATGCCCTCTGAAAAAAAATTCAAGTATCCCAAATATCAAATAGCCCTCACACAACATTCACAATAAAGTAAAACACTTGCAAATAGGAAACAGTGCATTCTGTCCTTGGTTCTATCAACTAAAAACTGCTAGACCACCAAGGACTCTTTTAGAAGTCCCCAAATATCCATCTAGCTTCAACAGTCTATAATTGAAGAAATCTCTGTAAGAGCCACATTAATTACTTCAGAGAATACTCTATGGGTCAAATCTAATCCATTGGGTAATAAACAATGAGGTTTCTGATGGTCTTAGAATTTCTTGAATAGACACCCTTTGAAAATGAAAACCACAATTCCCATATCACAATTTGAAGCACAACAAACATGCCATGTATGGCCCATTTTGTCTTTTGTAAAATTTCCCATCTCTATAACACCTTTTAATCTAATTTCTTTCTAAACATCAGGGTATTTCTTTAAAAGTAGTGGAAATGGCCGGGCGCAGTGGCTCACACCTGTAATCCCAGCACTCTGGAAGGCCGAGGCGGGTGTATCACGAGGTCAAGAGATCCAGACCATCCTGGCCAACATGGTGAAACCCCGTCTCTATTAAAAATGCAAAAAATTAGCTGGGCATGGTGGTGCGTACCTGTAGTTCCAGCTACTCAGGAGGCTGAGGCAGGAGAATTGCTTGAACCCGGGAGGCGGAGGTTGCAGTGAGCCGAGATCGCCACTGCACTCCAGCCTGGTGCCTGGCGACAAAGCGAGACTCTGTCTCAAAAAAAAAAAAAAGTAGTAGAAATGGGCCACGTGCGATGGCTCACGCATGTAAACCCAGCACTCTGGGAGGCCGAGGCGGGCCGATCACGAGGTCAAGAGATAGAGACCACCCTGGCCAACGTGGTGAAATCCTGTCTCTACTAAAAATACAAAAATTAGCTGGGTGTGGTGGGGCACACCTGTAGTCCCAGCTACTCGGGAAGCTGAGGCAGGGGAATTGCTTGAACCCAGGAGGCTGAGGTTGCAGTGAGCCGAGATCAGGCCACTGCACTCCAGCCTGGCGCCTGGCAACACAGCGAGACTCTGTCTCAAAAAATAAAAAATAAAAAAATAAAAGTAGCAGAAATGACAACGTTCTTAATTTAAAGATACTACATATACTGTCAGAATTTAAGTAAATACTTTACTTGAAATCACATTTTAACTGGAAGAGGCCTCAGTTATAATCTAGTCTGATCTTGTCACTATTACAGAGAAAAGAAAACTAAGGCCAAGGAAGTTACCTGATGATCCTACATTGAGGTCAATTAAAACTAACTCAGAACAAGAACCTTAGTGTTCTCATCTCTATGCCACAACTCTTCCTACTTCTCTGTGTGACCAGTGTTTGGAATCGATGAAGAAACAGACTCTTGAGAAAAATCAGAAACTAGGCTGAAATAAGGGTAAACCATATGTTTATCTGTAGCTGGACAGGGTATGTGTGTAAATAGAAAAAGTAACAAAGATTATTTGCTCTGATTTTGCTGGCAAATTCTAACACTAAGAATTTTCCTTATAGCAAAATTCTAAAACCCAACCTATGTTTAATTCCCTTTTTAAAATTAAGATAGTGAGTAAACATATTCAGAATGAACAGAAAGACATTTACAATTCAGGGAGTTTGGAATTCAATTAATCATAAGCATATAGAAAATTAAGTAAGTAAACAAAAGACAATTATTAATTCTGGAGAAAACAAAAAGCTGTACAAGAGAGGAAAACAAATCACAGCCCAGGTATGAATAGTGTTTATACTATCCAACTGAAAAAACAGAATATTGATGTAATTGAAATAAATATAAAAACAATTTTGAGAAAATGGGGAGGTAGAAATGAGGTTTGCATTTATGGTAGTGAGGAAGATGAGAATAATAGCTAAATCTTCATCTTCTAAAGTGGATTTTTTTTTTTAAAAAAAAAGGTAAAACATAAAGAGTTCAGAGTAGTCAAATGGCTCCCTCTTTATAATCTGCCTCTTTAACTCAAAACTAAATTTTTTAAAAATCACACATTCATAGACGACATTTGACGATTTTAAAAGTACGCACTAAAGATACTGGCTTCTCAATACCTGAACATGTGTAAAATATATTAATGCATTTGTTTAAAATATTCAAACTCGGCCAGGCGCAGCAGCTCAGCCTGTAATCCTGGCATGTTGGGAGGCTGAGGTGGGCGGATCACAAGGTAAGGAGATCCAGACCATCCTGGCTAACGCGGTGAAACACCATCTCTAGTAAAAATACAAAAAATTAGCTAGGCATGGTGGCACGCACCTATAATCCCAGCTACTCGGGAGGCTGAGTCAGGAGAATCACCTGAACCTGGGAGGTGGAGGTTGCAGTGCAGTCAGCTGAGATGGCATCACTGCACTCTAGCCTGGGTGACAAAGCAAGACTCTGTCTCAAAAAAAAAAAAAAAAAAAAAAGAAGAAGAAAAAAAAAATTCAAAGTCTTCCTGCTTATAATTCATCTTTTTTTTTCCCCCCGCCCAAACAGAGACAGGGTCTTCCTCTGTTGCCCAGGCTGGAGTGCTGGGGGATGACCATAGCTCACTGTAACCTTGAACTCCTGGGCTCAAAAAATCTTCCTGCCTCAACCTTCTGAGTAGCTAGGACTATAGGCCTTTTTACTTTTTTGTTGTTGTTGTTATTAGTCTTTATTTCATAATCATAAACTTAACTCTGCAATCCAGCTAGGCATGGAAGGGAACAAGGAAAACATGGAACCCAAAGGGAACTGCAGCAAGAGTACAGATTCTAGGATACAAATGGGGTGGAGGGGTGCTCTCCTGAGCTACAGAAGAAATGGTCTGGTGGTTAAGATAAAACGTAAGCCAAACTTATTAGAGCTGTCCACAGTCAGCAATGACAATCTTCTTGCTGGTCTTGCCATTCCTGGACCCAAAGTGCTCCGTGGCATCTATAATACTCACGTCTTCTTTCACTTGCCAAAGACCACATGCTTGCCATCCAGTCTTGGCAGTGCAGATGAAAAACTGGAAACCGTTTGTGTTGGGTCCAGCATTTGCCATGGACAAGATGCCAGGACCTGTATGCTTTAGGATGAAGTTCTCATCATCAAATTTCTCCCCATAGAGAAATTGGCCTTGCCAACAGTGCCATTATGGCATGTGAAGTCACCACCCTGACACAGAAACCCTGGAATAATTCTGTGAAAGCAGGAACCCTTATAACCAAATCCTTTCCAGTGCTCAGAGCACAAGTTTTCTGCTGTCTTTGGAATCTTGTCTGCAAAGCGCTCAAAGGAGATGCAGGCCAAGGGCTGGCCATTGACGGCAATGTCAAAGAACACAGTGGGAATGACCATGGCTGATACTACAAGGCTCCAGGCAGCGGCAGCATCTGCAAAGCCATCTTTTTACTTTTTAAAACTCTTTACTCTGAAATAATTATAGATTCACAGGATGTTACAAAAATACTACAGAGGTACAGTATACCTCTCACCCAGTTCTCTCAATGGTTATATTTTAGATTACTATAACACACTAAAAATCAGGAATACCAGTACAATGTGTGTGTGTCATTCTATGCCATTTTATCACATGTACATTTGTGGAACCACCACCAAAATCAAGATACAGAACTATTTCACTACAACAAAGATCTTGTACCACCCATTTATAGTCACACTCAGCTTCCTTCCTCTCACTATTCAACAACTAACAACCACTAATTTGTTTTCCATCTCAAAATTTTGCCATGTTACATAAATGGAAACATATGAGTCCTTTGAAATTGACTTTTAAAAAATATATCTTAATGCCCTTAAGAGCGATTCAAGTTACTACAAGTATCAATAGTTCATTCCTTCTCATTACTAAGTAGTATTCCACGGTATGAATATAACAGTTTGTCTAGCAATTCATCTACTGAGAGGCCCTTTGGTTGTTTTTGTTTTGTACTATCATAAATAAAGCTACCTTTTACTCTCAACTCACCTACATTGTTGTCTGAAATTACTTCCTGTAAATGGCACACTGTGTCATCTTTAAAACTCACTCTGTCTTTTAATAGATTAATTTAGGTCATTTATGTTTAATGTAGTCTTTGATATGTTGAAACTTAAATCTGTTTTTTCATTTTATTTCTTTTATCTGTTTTATTTTCCCTTCCTCCTATGGGTTACTTAAACATAGTTTAAAATTCCATTTTTTGTTTATCTAAAATGTTTTTGATTGCATCTCTTTGAATAGATTTTTTTTTATAGTGGCTGCTGAAGGACTGCATTACATATAACTTATCAACATTTACTGGTGTCAACATTTCATCAGTTCCAGTAAAGTATAGACTTTATCTTCCTTTAAGTTCCTTTACCCCTCTCCATTTATAACATAAATGTCTTCAATATTTCTTCTACATACATTGATAACTACACTAGACTTTTACAACTGAAAACAGTGCAAAAAGTCAAACACAATTTACAACATTCAAAAACATTTTTTAAAAGTTTGTTACATTTACTATATTTTTACACTTTACGTTGTTCTTTCTTCTATATGTTCACTATTCCTTTCTTTTATAATTTCTTTCCTGTTTCAGGAAATTTCTTTAGACATTATTTTATGGTAGGTCCACTGATGACAAGTTCTCTTTTTCCTTCACCTGAGAACATTGTGGTTTTCCCTTCCTTTCTGTCTGAACTAAATGTTAATTGGATATGGAATTCTGGGTTGACAGTTCTTTCCTTAGTCATCAAAATTTTCTGCCACTACTTTCTGGCGTCCATGTTTGCTGATGAGAAATCCACTGTCATTCAAACT